CTCCCCATTCCTGGAGACCCTGGCTCTGCAGAGCAGTTTGCAGCCTCCATGGGACTAGTGTGGCATTTAGGGTGGTGCCTTGCCCGAGGCAGAGGAGGGCACAGCACTGACAGAAGCATAGTCACCTGGCACTGCTCAGCTGATGCTCACTCACCCAAGAGGCTCTGTGAGGTCAGCGGTGCCCTCCTATTCCTCGGCGGAGTATACAGAGGCCTTCACCACCACTCAGGGAGATGCTTCTGGCCCTAGGTAGAATCCCCTAGACAGCAGCTTCCCTGGCTCATGGTGCATCGCATGAGGAGTGGCCAGGCTGCTCCCAAGTTACTTGTGATGGACAGAGATGCCTCAAGCCACCTGCCACATGCTGCTTCCCTTAGTCACCAGCCCAAACTGAGCCTCGGTTTCCGCATCTATAAAATGGGGACAGCGTGCCTTCCTGACTGTGTCACTAATCATCCCTGGGACAAAGCATGCAAGCTCCTGTTAAACACCTGTTCCCTCCCTCGTCACTGAGGCGCTGGGAGGTGCTCCTTGGCTGTGAGCTCAGACCAACCAGTGGGGTAGGCCAAGGAGTGACTGGGAAATGAGGCTGTCTTGGGGCCAGAGGTCTGGGGATGTGACTTCCGCTGGCCAGGAGCCAAGGATAGGTCTTCCCGTGCTGCTGCTTCTGGGGTGCAGGCTGGGGGCGGGGGTCTGAAGCTCTCTCAGACCCCCTTGTCTCTCAGAGCTGTCCTCCTGGGTGTGTCGGGGCCTGAGCAGTTTATTGGACTATGGGCCTCCCAGCCTGGGACCCAGGAGCTGAGATCTACCTGGTGTTAGAGGGCACCAAGGCTATGGCCAGTCCCCCTAGGGCAGGCAGTGGGTACCGTGGGCAGTAGTACCTCTGGGTCTCAAGGCCACGGCCCTACACATGCCATTGCTCTTTCCCTTGGGCAGGGGCGAATCAGGTTTAAGCAATTTAGAGGGGCCCTCTTTACAAAAAAGAATACAATAACATGACTCTTTCACATTTTTCATTTATATACATATGAACCTGTGGACCCAGAAGGGGCTGTGAAAGTGGGAGGCCTGGAACTCAGGGGGGTCCAGATGACCTTGTCCTCTTCTTGTAACAGCCAGAGTCCAGGATGTTCCGCCCAGGGCATTGGGCTGGCACTACAAAGGTTTAGAGGGACACCTGGGACACGGCTGGTTGGAATTTGGCTAGGAAACCCCAGAGGCTCTCCCTGGACCCATCAAATCCCCTTCCTTGTTTCTTCTGAGGCTGTGTGTTCCCCACCCCCACAGGGGTTCTTTCTATGCCTGTTCCCCAGACAGGTGTCATCTGCCACTCTAAAATGGCTTCCAGACCCCACAGACCCCTCATCATAAGCCCCACCCTAGGGTACTCTGCACCAGTCCTCTCTCTCAGGAGCTCACCAGCCCCAGCCAGCCCATTGTCAGAGCTCAGCCACACAGCAGGACCCTAGCCCACTGACCAGCCCAGAGCCAGGCCCACCACAGCCTCGGGGGCAGCTGCCCTTCCCCCCACATGGTCGCCTGTTCGTGAGACCCTGCCCTGCTTTAACGCACTGCCTCGGAGTGAGCATTATGATTCCAATGACAACACACCATGGCTCTAGACCTCCTGGGCAAGGCTAGGTCCAGACACAGATCCCAGATGACTGCTGGGGAGAAGGCAAGAGGCCTGGGGAGGCCCAGGACCAGACTTGAGCCTCAGGCCCCGATGCCCTCACACTTGGCCTTCCAGCTGCTGCTGTGACCAGATCCCCGTCCACTCAGCCCAGCCCATGGGCCCCAGCAGGCCTTCTGTGCCCCAACTCTGGGGCAGACCCCTAAGAGCGGAATCACTTTCTAGCCAGAGAACCTGAGATAGCCTGAGAGTCTCCTAACCATGATGCCTCCTGCTGGGAACAGTTTCACCTGCCTGGATGACATCGAGGGCAAATCAGGTGAGGCCTGCCCTCCACCACCCCATCTTGGAAGAGGTCCAGCTCCCAATGGTCCCAAGTCAGCATAACTTGAGTCAGAAGATCAAGTCCAGCCTCCCCTCAGGCAGGGAGAATATAGCTTTGATGGGAGCAGATGAATCTCCAGGTGGAATTTGCCCAACAAACCAGTTTTGCAAGGGACTAGCTGGCTGAATCATCAAGTCAAGGAGAGCCAGTGTTTCAAATAGCAATTTGCCAACTTAGCAATTATCGATTCTGAAAAACAAATTGTCTATTTGGGATACTTAAATACTTAGGCTGTCTCACATCTGAAGCATGAAGAAGCCTCCTGTGATTTGAAGGACGGACGTCATGAGTGCCAAGAGTTTTGTGTCAGTTCATCCTACCGGTGTCTTCTCCCACTTTGCTCTGTGGATTTGAACTCACAGTTTGTGCTATGCCCACTGCCTGCCCACCCTAACCAGACTCCTGGAGACCTGGCTGGTCAGTCACCAGAGGAAGAGGGCCCAGCAGCACACCAGCACTCACCCACCTGTGGGGATCAGTCAGTCCCGGTGGAAGCTAGAGGACATACTCAAATGGGTACTTGAGAAAAGGGGCTATTCACAGAGGTATGGACAGAGTTAAGGGAACCAGTGAGAGATGAAAAGTGCCCTGGACCAGCAAGAGTGGGAGCTGTTATCTCCCTGGGTCTAGAGGGACGGGAAAGGTGTTCACGGACCCCTATGAGAGCTGTGGCTAGAGGAGGATCATCAGGAGCTGCAGCCATCAGCAGAAAGACCACTGCCAAAGCAGCCCAGCAAGGAAGAATCTGGGAGAATAACCACCTCTCTGTCCAACCTCCGATGACATCCCCCACTGTCTGAATTCCACCAGGGCCAGAGAGCGATGCACCCTGGTGATGCAGCCCAAGAGGGAGCAGGAGGAGAAGAGCCAGTGGGTATGGAGGGGAAACAGAGAAATGGAGAATTCCAGCTCACTCTGCCGGATTTCTGGGTCTGATAGAAACCTAGCAGCTGCTTAATTCTTTTCTTTACCTTTGTTTTCTTTTCTTTTCTTTTTTTTGAGATGGAGTTTCACTCTTGTTGCCTAGGCTGGAGTGCAGTAGCATGATCTTGGCTCACTGCAACCGCCACCTCCTGAGTTCAAAGGATCCTCCAGACTCAGCCACCCAAGTAGCTGGGATTACAGGCACACACCACCATGCCTGGCTAATTTTGTATTTTTGGTAGAGACAGGGGCTCACCATGTTGGACAGGCTGGTCTTGAACCTCTGACCTCATGTGATCCACCCACCTCAGCCTCCCAAAGTGCTGGGATTACAGGCGTGAGCCACTGCTTCAGACCTGCAGCAGCTTAATTCTACAGTGTCCAGTTTCTCCTTCTGGAAACTATATGGAGAGACAAGTCCAAGAAGAAGGAGGAGGAGGAGAAGGAGGAAGAAAAAGCCCATCATCCACACACACATCAAACTCAACTTCAGAGAAATTAGGAAGCTGGGAAGCCACGTAAACCTGCAAGCAGGTGACACCAGCAGAACCAACACAGGAAGCCAGGGAAGTGCGGAAGAACAGGGTATGGGGGGTAACCCAGGGGGATCTTCATTGTCGCCAGCAACACACACTCCTGGGAGGAGAGGACTGCAGATCTGGGGAATTGAAGAAAGAAGGAGCAGGTGGTGCCTGGGGAAGACCAGGTGTGCTGGATCTGAGAGGCCACTCCCCAACAGAGGCGGGAACACTTAGGAAGGCAGGGCTGAGTCCCTGGAGGCTGAATCCGGGAAAGGAGCCTGGCATTAGAGCCTTCCTGAAGCCCAGTGGATTCTGAGAGGCAAAGAGGCAGTGGTACAGAGGTGAGGCTGATGCTTCTGTGCAGGAAGGGCAGGCTCCTGAGGAAGGGAGCCCCGAATGCCCTCCATTAGATTCCCACAGAGCCCCACTCCCTCCACAGGGACCTTGAGCTTGTGTCTGGGAAATTCCATTCACACTGGAACCTCCGATACACTGCCATGAATGTGAGGGTTTCGTGACTGATGGGGTAGGTTTCTGTCTTCCAACTCAATTGTATAGTTCCACTTATTCCTCCCCCAGCCTCCCCAAAGTTCACCTCTCATGAACATTAACCACAGTATGCTGATCAGAACCAGGAAAATCACATTCTCATATTTAACTAAATTAAATTTTAAATTATTTCACAAAGTAACCAATTTTTATTAATTGTTTTTATTTTGAGATGAAGTTTCACTCTTGTTGCCCAGGCTGGAGTGCAATAGCGCAATCTCAGCTCACGGCAACTTCCGCCTTCCAGGTTCAAGTGATTCTCCTGCCTCAGCCGCCCAAGTAGCTGGGATTACAAGTGCATGCCACCACCCCCGGCTAATTTTTGTATTTTTAGTAAAAATGAGATCTCATTGTATTGGTCAGACTGGTCTCGAACCTCTGACCTCAGGTGATCCACCCGCCTCAGCCTCCCAAAGTGCTAGGATTACAGATGTGAGCCACTGCACCTGGCCAATTTTATTAATTTAATTAAATACATTTAGATCATTTAAATAATTTGTTTAACTATATTTAACTAATTTTAAATGAACATATTAGCTAAACTAAAGACCTTATTGGAGTTTCACTACTTTTTCCACTAATGTCCTTTTTCTGTTCTTTCTTTCTTTTTTTTTCAAGAGAATTAAATCGTTTATTGATTACACATGATAATGGATGATACACAAGCTTCATTCCCATCTATAATTTTATCTGGTACCATTACTCAATTTAGATATATTGCATAGGATGTGCCAACAATCATCTTTATAACCAATAATTCCATGATTTTGCTTGGGTAATCCCTTCTAATTGTGAATTTCAGGTCACAACAGTAACTATTAGTTCAACTACACCAAGGTTTCTGAAGACATTGGCTTTTCCACCCAAGCACATTGTATATAAATTCCAAATAGAACCTGGCATCACCCTGAAGAAATTTTAACTTCACACTGTTGGGGAAATTTACCAAGATGGCTTTAGAGTAGACTAACTTTACACAGCACATTAAAAAAAAAAGACATTTATTCCGTGTCACAATCAGACTATTACATTTAGCAATCAGCAGCATGGGTGCAAAAAAAAGAAAAAGAAAAAATCTGCATTAAAACCCTTTGCTGGAATGCTTTACACTTTCCACAGAAGAGAAACTAAAATAACCTGTTATACAATTAGTGACAAATAGTCCTCGAGTTTTTTGCCCATACACATGAGTATTTGTCTAAATCATGTCTTCTTTGTGGCAGCTAGGCCCTGCCACCACTGCGCTTGGCTGAGTTCACAAATCTGTTGTAACCTGTATCTTCCCTGTCACTTCTCTGGCTCTCCTCTCCTGCTCAGCTTTGTTTCCTAATTAAAATCTTCTGCCACTGCCATAGCTACTGCTGCTACTGGAACCGCCATAGCCACCTTGGTTTCGTGGTTTGGCAAAGTATTGGCCGCCACCACCATAGGGACCAGAGCTTCTGCCCCCAAAGTTTCCTCCCTTCGTGGGTCCAAAATTTGAAGACTGATTGTTGTAACTGCCAAAATCATTGTAGCTTCCACCACCTCCAAAATTGCCTCCATCATTACCAAATCCATTATAGCCATCCCCACTGCCACCATATCCACCACCACCACGACTGCCACCAAAGCCACCACGACCACTGAATTTTCTTCCACAACCAAAGTTGTCATTCCCGCTGAAACCACCTCCACGACCACCACCAAAGTTTCCAGAACAACTTGGACCTCTTTGGCTGGATAAAGCACTAGCCAGCTCTTGCTCTGACAGGGCTTTCCTAACTTCACAGTTGTGGCCATTCACGGTATGGGATTTCTGAATGACAATCTTATCCACAGAGTCATGGTCGTCCAAGGTTACAAAGGCAAAGCCCCTTTTCTTGCCACTGCCTCTGTCCGTCATAATTTCAATCACTTCAATTTTTCCATACTGTTCAAAATAATCTCTTAGGTGATGTTCTTCAGTGTCTTCTTTAATGCCACCAACGAATATTTTTTTCACAGTTAAATGGGCACGTGGTCTTTGAGAATCTTCTCTTGAGACAGCTCTCTTTGGTTCCACAACTCTTCCATCCACTTTGCGCGGCCTTGCATTCATGGCTGCATCCACCTACTCCACAGTTGCATACGTGATGAACCCAAAGCCCCTGGAGCGCTTGGTGTTTGGGTCTCTCATTACCACACAGTTCCCCATTGCTCAAAATGGCTCATCAGGCTCTCATCGGTTGTTTCAAAGCTCAACCCTCCAATGAAGAGCTTCCTCAGCTGTTCCGGCTCTTTAGGAGACTCTGACTTAGACATGATTGCAGGGAGAAGAGAGACTTTAACGATGCTGCTTCGGTGGCATCCACGGGCAGAAAAAGCCTTTTTCTGTTCTTTCTTAGTCTTCCGCAGTTTTGTTAGACTGCATTAACTGTTGCTCAGTCTTTCTTATCTTTCATGACCTTGGCACTTTGAACCAGTACTGATCAGTACTTGTCAAATGTTTCTCAACTTGGGTTTGACTGATGTATTCCCATGATTGGACTGAGGTTGTGCAATTTTGGCAACTACAGCACAAAAATGATGTGAAATCCTTCCCATTGCATTCCATCAGAGTTATGGCATTGATAGTTCTTATTACGGATGATGCTGAACTTTCATTTGGTTAAGGTTTCTGTTGGGTTTCTCCATTGTAAAGTTACTATCTTTCCCCCTCGTAGGGGGAAAACATCTCAGGAGAAATACTTGGAGATTATGCAAATTTTGTATCTTCTCAAACTTTAAAAATTTTTTTCGGGCTGGGCACAGTGACTCACACCTGTAATCCCAGCACTTTGGGAGGCCAAGGTGGGCATATCAGGAGGTCAAGAGATTGAGACCATCTTGGCCAACATGGTGAAACCCTGTCTCTACTAAAATACAAAAATTAGCTGGGCATGGTGGCACACGCCTATAGTTCCAGCTACTCAGGAGGCTGAGGCAGGAGATTCACTTGAACCTGGGAGGCAGAGGTTGCAGTGAGCCAAGATTGTGCCACTGCACTCTAGCCTGGCGCCTGGAAACAGAGCAAGACTCTGTCTCAAAAAAAAAAAAAAAGAAAATTTTTTTTCTCTATTTTGACGGCCGGGTGTGGTGGCTGATGCCTATAATCCTAGCACTTTGGGAGACTGAGGAGGGTGGATCACCCGAGCTCAGGAGTTTGAGCCCAGCCTGGCCAACCTGGTAAAAGCCTGTCTCTACTAAAAAATACAAAATTACTCGGGTATTACAGGTATGGTGGCACATACCTGTAAGTCCAAGCTACTTGGGAGGCTGAGGCAGGATAATCACTTGAACCCGGAGGACAGAAACTGCAGTGAGCTAAGATGGTGCCATTGCACTCCAGCCAGGGCAACAGAGCGAGGTTTCATCTAAAAAAAAAAAATTCTATTTTGAATTGTGGTAAAATGTACATAATATAAAATTTACCACCTTAACCGCCTTAAGTATACAGTTGGAACAGGCATCAAGGAGAGCCTTTGGGTTGGGTAATGTGGAGTATATTCGCATTGCTGTGCATCCCGTCTCCAGAACTTTTCATCTGACAAAACGGAAACTCTATATCCACTAAACAACTTCCCATTTTCTTCCTTCTCCAAGTCCCTGGCAACCCCCATTCCACTTTTTGTTTCTATTAGTTTGCTTACTCAGTCTAGACACTTCATATAAGTGAAAGGATATATAGTATTTGTCTTCTTGTAACTGGTATATTTCACTTAGCATCATGTCCTCAGTGTTGACCCATGTTGTAGCATGTGTTAGAATTTCTTCCCTTTTAAAGGCTGAAAAATATTTATTGTATGTGTATACCACGTTTTATCCATTCATTTGCCTATGGACAATTAGGTTGCTTCCATCTTTTGACAAATGTGACTAACACTGCTATGAATATCAGTGTACAGATATTTCTATGAGACCTTGCTTTCAATTATTTTGGCTATATACCCAGAAGTGATATTGCTGGATCATTTGGTAATTCTATTTTAATTTTTTGAGAAACTGCCTGTTCTGTGGTGAGCAGGTCTATATAAATCTACCTGCAAAGGTCAAGGAACCTGAGATACCAAAGAAAGAGGCTGACAAATCCAGTTTCTCAGAAAGAAACATTTAATAGATGTTTATGAACAGAAACCAAGTCAGGGATGGCACCAAGACAAGTTGGTAGATCCTTGCACCATTACCCTCAGAACCCAGGGCTTATATAGCATAGGGAAAGGGTAATGCATGCTTCAGGACATATGTGTACAGCCAGGCACAGCGGCTCACGCCTGTAATCCCAACACTTTCAGAGGCCGAGGTGGGTATTACCTAAGGTCAGGAGTTTGAGACCAACCTGGCCAACATGGTAAAACCCTGTCTCTACTAAAAATACAAAAATTAGCTGGGCATGGTGGCAGGCACCTGTAATCCCAGCTACTCAGGAGGCTGAGGCAGGAGAATTACTTGCACCCAGGAGGAGGAGGTTGCAGTGAGCTGAGATCACGCCACAGCACTGCAGCCTGGGCAACAAGAGTGAAACTCCATCTCAAAAAAAAAAAAAAAATTAAAAACTGTGCATCAAGGGCACAATCAACGGAATGAAAAGGCAACGTATGGAATGGGAGAAAATGCTTGCAAATCATTTGTCTGATAAGAAGAGAATATGCAGAATATATAAAGAGCTCCTACAGCATGACAATTTTAAAAATTCAATTTAAAAACGAGTAAAGGAGTTTCTGTTTCTTCAAAGATGATATGCAAATGGATGGTAAACATTTGAAAAGATGCTCAACATCCCTAATCATGTTAGGGAAGAAATGCAAATCAAAACTACAAGGAGATACCACTACACATCCATTAGAATGGCTGCCATTTTAAAAAATAGGAGGAAATAAGCATCAGTGAGAATGTAGTGACACTGGAAGCTATAATCTTAGCATTTCAAGAGGCCAGCGTGGGAGGATGGCTTCAGTCCGGGAGTCTGAGCCTAGCCTGGGCAAGACAGCGAGATGTGTCCGGGTACTGTGGCTCATACCTGTAATCCCAACACTTTGGGAGGCTGGGGCAGGAGGATTGCTTGAATCCAGGAGTTTAAGACCAGCCTGGACAGCATGGTGACATCCTGCCTCTACAAAAAAATACAAAAACTAGCTAGGTGTGGTGGTGTGGGCCTGTAGTCCCAGCTACTTGTGGGGAGCTGAAGGGGAAGCATCACTGGAGTCCAGGAGGGTGAGGCTGCAGTGAGCCGTGATGGCGCCACTGCACTCCAGCCTGGGTGAGAAAGTAAGACCCTGTCTAAAAAAAAAGCAATTACTCTATTAAAATATATTCTCTCTAGATAGACAGAGAGAGAGAGATCTCCCAAGTAGCTAGGATTACAGGCATGAGCCACCACACCTGGCTAATTTTGTATTTTTGGCAGAGACAAGGTTTTACCATATTGGCCAGACTGGTCTCGACCTCCTGACCTCAAGTGATCCACCCACCTTGGCCTCCCAAAGTGCTAGGATTACAGACATAAGCCACCACACCTGGCAAAAGTTTGAAATTTTGATGCAGTTCAATTTATATATTTTCACTTTTGTTGTCAGTGCTCTTGGTGTCATAGCTAAGAAATCATTGCTGGCCGGGCGCGGTGGCTCACGCCTGTAATCCTAGCACTTTGGGAGGCCGAGGAGGGTGGATCACGAGGTAAAGAGATCGAGATCATCCTGGTCAACATGGTGAAACCCCGTCTCTACTAAAATACAAAAATTAGCTGGGCATGGTGGCACGTGCCTGTAATCCCAGCTACTTAGGAGGCTGAGGTAGGAGAATTGCCTGAACCCAGGAGGCGGAGGTTGCGGTGAGCCGAGATCGAGCCATTGCACTCTAGCCTGGGTAACAAGAGTGAAACTCTGTCTCAAAAAAAAAAAAAGAAAGAAAGAAGGAAATCACTGTTTAATGTTTTTTCTTTTCTTTTTTTTTTTGTATTTTTAGTAGAGATGGGGGTTTTACCATGTTGGCCAGCATGGTCTCGAACTCCTGACCTCATATCATCCTCTTGTCTCAGTCTCCCAAAGTGCTAGGATTATGTGCGTGAGCCACCACGCCCAGCAATGTCTTTTCTTTTAAATACCAGAGGTTATATCTGATCCAAATCCAAGGTTATGAAGCTTTTCTCCTGCTTTCGTCTAAGAGTTTTATAGTTCTAGCTCTTATATTTTGTCTTTGATCTGTTAACACCCGTGCTTTGAATGAAGAGACACCCCAAACAGGCTTTGTGTGAGCAGCATGGCTGTTTATTCACCTGGTTGCAAGTGGGCTAAGGCTGAAAAGGGCGTTAGCGAAGGGCAGTGGGATAGGAGTTGGTTTTATAGGTTGAGGCAAATCTTTTGGGGAGGGGGCAGGGTTGTTACCAGGTAAGATCAGTTACAGTGGTGGGGGTAGGGGCAAGGAGTATACATTACCATAAGTTCAGTTACAACGGCAGATGGGGTAAGGCATAAGAGTAGTTAAGATGGCAGGGTGGGGTGAGGAGTATTTATATTATCATAATAACAGTTAAGATGGCAGGTGGGGTGAAGGGAAGCTTATGTCTGTGGAAGCTTGGCCGGGCAATGAGGGATAATGGCGAACACTGGCAGGGGGTGGGGGGTAGGAGGGGTGATCAGCCGAGGCAGGCAGGACTTTAGATTTTCTGGGTCTGGGCTTGTACATGGAGGCCTGAGATGATCCATGTTGAGTTAATTTTTCTAAAGTTGTAAGGTAAGGGTCCAGCCTCATTGTTTTTTTTTGAGACAAAATCTCATTATTACCCAGGCTGAAGTGCAGGGGCACAATCTTGGCTCACTGCAACCTCTGCCTTCCCGTTCAAGTGATTCTTCTGCCTCAGCCTCCCAAGTAGCTGGAGCTACAGGCACCCACCACCACGCCCAGCTAATTTTTTTTTTTTTAGTAGAGATGGGGTTTCACTATGTTGGCCAGGCTGGTCTCAAACTCCTGACCTCAAGTGATCCACCCACCTTGGCCTCCCAAAGTACTGGATTACAGGCATGATTAGTATGGATTCACAAATATTTATTTTCTTCTGTGGATTATAACCTGAAACTATCATTATTTATTTTGTTGCTCAAATTATTCCAGCTTTGGTTATTAGACCATTCCTCAGGTTGGCTCCTGTGTTCTTTCAACAAGCCCTCATCTTTAAGTATTTTATTTTTAGTATTTCCTGACTTTCTGGCACGAGGCTGTTCCAGGCTCATCTTGCATGTCCCATACCAAAGACATCAACAATCTTGGGAGATTAGTCCCTTTTATTGGAGAATGTAATTTAGATACCAAGATCTGGGTGCTAAGATGTGCTCATTATTCCTGGGGTGTCATTGTGCCTAGGAACTCTCAGCAGGCAGAGCTAGGAAATATAAGTATGTATTTACTCATTCATACACACACACATAGATATTTCTTTTCTTTTTTTTTTAACTTCATGTGTTTGTGTGTGTGTGTGTGTGTGTGTGTGTGTATAAGTATGGAGATGGGGTTTCACCATATTGCTCAAGCTGGTCTTGAACTCCTGAGCTCAAGTGATCCGTCCACCTCAGGCCTCCCAAATTGCTGGGATTACAGGCATGAGCCACTGCACCCAGCTATATTTCTGTATTTATTAGTATAAATAAAAAATCCTAAAGGCTTTTTTTTTTTTTTTTTTTTTGAGATGGAGTCTTGCTCTGTTGTTGGAGAGAGTGCAATGGCGTGATCTCAGCTCACTGCAACCTCCGCCTCCCAAGTTCAAGTGATCCTCTCATCTCAGCCTCCTGAGTAACTCGGATTACAGGCACCCGCCATCATGCCCAGCTAACTTTTTTGTATTTTTGTAGAGATGGGGTTTCACCATGTTGGCCAGGCTGGTGTCAAACTCCTGACCTCAAGTGATCTGCCTGCCTCAGCCTCCCAAAGTATTGAGATTACAACAGGCGTCCACGCCTTTTTTTTTTTTTTTTTTCCAGCAATGTTGCTCTGTCACCTAGACTGGAGTGCAATGACACAATCTTAACTCACTGCAACCTCCGCCTCCCATTTCAAGTGATTCTCATGCCTCAGCCTTCCAAGTAGCTGGGCTTACAGGCATGTGCCATCACAGCTGGCTTATTTTTGTGTTTATTTTATTTTAAAACATGGGGTTTCACCATGATGGCCAGGCTGGTCTTGAACTCCTGACCTCAGGTGACCACCCACCTCGGCCTCCCAAAGTGCTAGGATTACAGGTGTGAGCCACTGTGC